GATTTGGCGGTAGTCGAGGAATCCACTCCGCGTTGAGCTCACGGCCCTTCCCTGAGCCGAGCGGCCCTTTATCCTTGCCCATCATGACCTGCGTCCCGTTTCTGTCGGGCAGCGCCCGTGTCCCGGCCTCAAACTCGTCCCACCGCAGTAGGAAGCGCGTAAGCGGATCCTCCTGGAGTTCGGCGTCTCTTACCCACGCGCCGTGCCTCGGGGGTGAGCCCTCCATCTCTCCCAGCCCCGGCACTACCCCTCCCACCTCCTCGCGTGTCGCCAGTTGAGGTCTCGCTACTCCGCTCGGGGGCTCTTGCTCTTTCAGCTCGCACGGCTGCCGGTATCCGAGCGCCTCCTCACTCGCCCTCGCCATCTCTTCCGCCACGTCGCCGGCGTCACTCCCTCCCTTGACCGCTACGACTATGCCGTCGTGCTGCAGCGACAGCACTGCGTGGCCGCTGCGCGTGGCCCAACGCACCTTCGCCCTTCGGCTGATACTCTCCGCCTCCTGAAAGGCGAAAGATTTGACTGTGCGTTCCGGGTGCCCCTTCCCTGGCTTGTGGTGCGCAAGCCAATCGGTGACAAAGCGGGTCATTCCCGTCCTCTCCCCCAGGCTATTACTCAGCCAGAGCGTGCCCTCTGCTTGCGCCTGGAGGTACGCCCCGAAGTCAAAGGAGCCTCCGCCCTCTAGTGCTACCCTTGTCTGCTTCAGTTTGTCCTTGTCCAACCCCCACCTCTCTGCCCACGTCGCCACATTCCCGTCCATGTCGATCGAGGCGAAGAGCGTCTTCACCCGCGCGCGTCTCTCCCGCTGCCCCTCTCCCTGGAACAGGGCCGCCCTAGGTAAGCTCCATAGTGGGCGCGGTATTCTTTGGGCGGCGGGGGAGGGGTGCGTGGGGGGGATGGCGGTGTACGTACTGAGCGTCGGTGCGAATCGTTGCTGCATACCAACTAACACGCTTGTGGCTGCTCCGCCGAAGGATTATTAGGTAAGGAAAGGTAAGGTAAACTTCTCCACACACACAAGGTGGTGGGGCAAGGGGGCAACCCTCGCGACTCCACGTCTTAGACGACGGAAACCCCACGGCATTTGAATGTGCGCAAAAGGGGCCCGTGGTGGCTGGTGGCTGGTGCGCGCGCGGGTGTGCTTACCCTAAGTGAGTAGTGTGTGTGTGTGTGTGTGTGTGTGTGTGTGTGTGTGTGTGTGTGTGTGTGTGTGTGTGTGTGTGTGTGTGTGTGTGTGTGTGTGTGTGTGTGTGTGTGTGTGTGTGTGTGTGTGTGTGTGTGTGTGTGTGTGTGTGTGTGTGTGTGTGTGTGTGTGTGTGTGTGTGTGTGTGTGTGTGTGTGTGTGTGTGTGTGTGTGTGTGTGTGTGCGTGTGTGTGTGTGTGTGTGTGTGTGTGTGTGTGTGTGTGTGTGTGTGTGTGTGTGTGTGTGTGTGGTGTCGGGGTGGGGCGGGGGGTCACGTCGGTGCATCCTCTGCCGGCTCCTCCCGTGGCCTCTTCTTTGTTCGACGCATTTAAATCCTCCATCCTTCACGAAGCCTTCCCATGTGGCGCGCTAGCCGCTAGCGAGTAGCGTTCTTCTTGGATGTCTCCTCTGGGGGGGCGCGGGGGCCCCCGGAGGCACCGTGCGCCGCGCAGCAGTGCGGAAACGGGGCCCCGGCTCTATTAGTCTCTATTAGCACCGACTTCCCGATCTAACGGTCTAACAGAGGGCAGATTTGGAAAGATCTCGAGGAGTACATACAGATAGACCCTCCAACCATCAGAAAACTCCGACCTGATCGGTCGTACTGACCGCCGACAGATCACTCCACAGCAGACAGGCCGACGTCTGCACGCAGCCGGCCGGGCGAGAGGCTTGACACGATCCGACCCTGCGACCCTGACGCTGCTGCTCTAGCTATCAGACATGCGCTGCTGACTGCTGCCACAATGTGCGACCTGTGCTGGCCCACTTGGCGGCCTTCCCGGTCAGTGGTGAGGCGCAGTTCAGAGCTGTCGATGGCGCGATGCCGCACTGGTCCCACATTGGTGACACGAGACCACCAAGTTTGCCGGTCCAAGAGAGAGGCACCGGCGCTGTCCTGAGAAGGTGCGTGGTCCCTCTTGACTGCCCATGGATGCGCGCGAGGCTGTGTAGGCATAGCCTCGAGAGTGCCAGCAGCCAATCCGAGGCGACGCGCATTGCGTCAGAAGCGTGCACACGATGGAAGGACACCTTCCTACTGGCCGTAGGATCAGGTCGTCACTGAATGCTTGATACTAAGGCCGCGAGCTATGCAGGTGATCAATTGTGCATCATGGCACGGTCAGCAGCGCCGACAGGCTGTCGCAAGGCGTGATAGCATGGCCGCAAGGAAGCCGAATTCCCACATGAAAACAAGTAAAAATGGCCAAAAAATCCAAAAAATCGGCGCCTGCGGCGGGCCATGGGACCCCATCCCCCCCCCCGCATGGACACCCTCTGGGGCCCCCGCGCCGGCCCAGAGGATGTCTCTGCACTCTGGAAACGACCACAGCTCAGTGCGACAGTGCTCAGTGGGCCTGGGCGGGCCCGGGACGTTACGCGACGCGACTGGGCCGTAAGGTACACTAAGTTTCTGTGCGTGTGCTAGACCACTTTTTGCTCTCTGTCACAACAACTCACTCTCACACTCCTCGCCCAGCTCCTCTGCAAGCCCACATACTCTTGAGACGCCCAAGTCATCAAACCCCGCGTGCGGGGCCACTCGGCTCAGCCTCGGCCGCCCCTCGCCGTTGGCGTTGCCCGCCGCCGCCGCCGCCTCCTCCGCCGCGTCAAAGTACCAGAGCGTCACGGCGAGGCGACGCTGGCTTGGCCCGGTCGGCAGCACGGCATGCGGAACCCGCTCGTCCGAGAGGAAGAGGACGAGCCGGTCGGCGAGCGGCTCGATGTCGACCTGTGGCCATGTCTCGGACGTGTCCTGGACGTGTCGTGGACGTGGCCAAGGCGCGGCTCGATGTCGGCCAGCGGCGGCGAGGTGGGCAGGCCGGGCGAGAAGAGGCGGAGGGCGCCGTGCGTCGGGTCCTACAAGAAGGACCGAGAGAAGGGCCCGAGAAAGGTCCGAGAAGGGTCCGTGACAGTGGCCAAGAGAGAAGCGAAGCTGCGCCTCTGCGGGCGGATTCAGGTAGTAGACGGCGGTGGCGCGCCGCCCGTTGCACCGCGCGCCCGCGCCGCCCGAGCAAACGTTGTCTAGGTGTCGCACGTAACGGGTGCCTGGGGGATGGAGGGAGAGGGAGGGGGAGGGGGGGGAGGCAACGCCGGTCGGAGGACGCGGGTGCTGTGTTTGGCAGCGAGGGCCCGGTGCCGTTGGGTGGAAAGCAAGCCAGCATCGCGTCCGCGGAGCGCCAGTGCGTACCGGCCAGAGGCGCGCTGCCGGCGTGGTCCCTCAGCGCAGCGACGAGCCCTGACGGTAGTACCCACGGACCGTGGAATGGCGTTTCATGCCCACTGGTTGTATGGGACAATCAAGCACACCGTCAGTGCGGTTTGCGAGGAGGTCAAGCGGTCTCAGCAGGCCGACCCTCCCACCGCTGCCGTCGACGCGCTGCCAGCGCGAGACGTCCGAGCGGAGGGCCGAGACGCGGCCCGAGCGCACCTGGCCTGACGCTGCACCGCCGCTGTCGCAGAGTCCGCGGCCCTCGAGCTCGTCCCGCACGGCTCCCATTGCGGCGGCGCCGAGAAAGCCGTCCAGCACTGCAAATCCGTTCGCCTCGAGCTGCCGCGCCACCTCGAGCGCCTCGCGGGCCGGGCTGGACCGCAGCCGCGCGAGGCGGCGGCGGGCCGAAGTCAGGCGGCGGCTCGGCGGCGGAGGGGGGCCGACGTCGAGAGGAGGCGGGTAATAGACTGCGAGCGCCATTACACGTGTATGCGCTGCCTTTTCTTTTTTGGTAAATGAAACCTTGGAGCAGGAAGCGTTTTCTTGACTTAGGGACTTGAAGAAAAGAAAATATGGCTCGCCGGCGCGGCCGAGCAAGGAGAGTGGGAGCTTGCTAGGCGCGCTCATTGCTCTCTTCGCATGAGCAAGCCCACTTCCGCGAAGCCCTCGGAAGCATACATGGCAAGGAAACGCAACGCCGCGAAGGTGAACGCTGTGACGACCGGCGAAGCCCCGTGGGGCAACATCGAAACCAACGTGCTCTCCAAGCCGCCCGAGAACGTGCGTCATCTCTCTTGTGCCCCCGAAGCGTCGCCGGCGCGCTGACGCGCGGCGTGCGCGCTCTGTAGGTGTCTGCGGACGCGTCCTGGGCCTCCGTGATCGGCATGTGGCTGCTGCTGCCTCTCAACATCCTGCAGGCGATCTTCGGCGCTCTGCTGCCGATCGTCTACCGCAACTATTCGTGGTGGGCGGCCCAGTCGGTCGGGTGCGGGCGGCCGTTCCTTCTCGCGTGGACGTGGTGGCGTTACGTGCTGACCGGCCTGCTCGCCCTCATCCTCCCCTGCACGGGCGGCGGGTCGCGGCTGCGTCTGTTCCGGTGGGAGTGGGCGGCCTTCGGGAAGGGGGAGTACTGGTACCACGGCGAGGGCGTCTGGGCGTGGACCTACGCCATGGTCGACGCGATCCAGAAGGGCAGCCAGGCGCGCAAGGCGGCCTTCGGCTGCATCGCCGCCGCCATTCCCGACCTCTTCCCCAAGGGGATCCTCATCTTCTTGCCAAACTCGGGCAAGAGCCCTGAGGCCGAGGCGAGCCCTGCCGCGGAGGAGAAGAACGAGTGGTGGTGGATGCGGCAAGAGTTCCACAAGATCTTCTTTGCGGGCAACCCCGGCTACTACGAGCGGCTGCAGAACATCGGGCCGTACCTCAAGAAGAATGGGGTCGTGCCGGACCGCTCCAAGCTCGACGACAAGGAGTACCTCAACGGCCTCGTCGTGCAGTGCGTCATGTGCGCCACCCGTGGGGGCAGAGAGCGCTAGGGCGCACGGGCCACCTCACGGCTGCCTCACAAGCTCGCCCCCACGGACAGGTACGTCATCTTCGACGCGTACGCGGAGGGAGGCACCATCGGCTCCACTGGCCTCGACCGCTCTGTGCCGGCCAACTGGGACCACGCAGAGTACGAGCCGATCTGGCTGAGCCCAGACGAGGTCTCGCAGATGGTCAACTGGCGCGGGTATGCCGCCTACTGGGTGCTGCCGCGGCTGCTGCAGCGCTTCCTCTTCAACTTCCTGATCGGCAGAGTCAAGGGGCTCCGAAAGGACTCGGCGGACCTCGTCGACAAGCACAGGCTGCGCGCGCCCTTCGAGAAAATGAACAGCCAGCTGCCCGTGCAGTACCGCAGCGAGTACGGCGTCGAGCTCATGGACAAGGTCTTCTTCATCTTTGGCTTTGCCGGCATCGGCGGCACCTCGGCCGGCGTCGAGTCGACGGGCCAGTTCCTTCAGGGCAAGACGGGCGAGATTGGGGACGGGCTGGTCACTTTCCCGCCCGGCTACGACGGCTTCGCGATGTGGAAGGACGGCGACTCCTCCACGCGGCACAACTTCATCCGCGAGGTCTGCCGCCTCGACCCTCCCGTCACCTCCGCCACCACCTCCTTCGTCGCCGAGAAGACGATCCTGCTCTACAACGGCGTCGGCTGCCCAAACGCGTGCGGCGGAAACAAGGAGACGACCTTCCCCAAGGGAACGCTCAACCAGTACACCCTGTCGATGGCCAATCGAGACCCGACAACGTTCGCTGAGCCGCAGACCTTCAACCCGTCCCGCGAAGAGCTGGACAAGGCCCTCCCATCCTAGCCTCCTGCACACCTCCTCGACACCTCCTAGACACTTCCTAGACACCTCCTAGACACCTCCTAGACACCTCCTAGACCGAGCTGTGCAGAACTGGGCCAGGCGCCGCGCGCGCGCCTCGCGCCTTCCGTCTCGCGAGGCGCCTCCCCCCGGGGCACGTGTCCTTCTTTGCATCCGTCTCTGAATTCTTCTTTGTAGGCGCTCACGTGGAACGGCGCCTTCAAGTCGACCGCGCCGGGCCCCGAACCCGACGCACTCGCCGCGCAGTACCCGCGCATCTGCCCCGGCCGCAAGCTCTCCATCTACATCATCGAGGCGATCATCAACGCCCTGATTCTCGAGGATGCCCCCACCGCCCCCTGAGCCGGCAGGCGCGCCCGGGGCCCCGCATTCCTCGCGCGATGCGCCTTCTCCGGCGCTCGCAGCGGGCGGCGGGGGGTTCGCGCATGCGCCGCCCTCTACCTCGGGACGGGTCTCGGAGGTGGTCTCGGGAAGGTGCTCCGCACTTGCTGGGCCGCGTCGCTCAAGACAGTCGGCTGCAAAGCATTCGGTACGCGCATGAGGTGAGATCTGGCGGAGGGCGGGGGACGTACACCGGTCGGCCATGTGCCGGGGTAGCCACGGCCATGGAGGAGGGGAGGGGGTATGGGAATAGGATTGCTCCGTCGCGCGCCCTCGTGAGTCTGCACTAGGCGGTGGCGAGTTTCGGAGTCTTCCTTCAGCTTCACACAGCAGCCCACATGCGGCAGTCTGCCGGGCGTGCGCGGGCTACCCCGCCGGCAGCCCGGCACGCGGACGCGCGGCCGTTCTCGCGCGCACGACCCACGAGCTGCCAGCTCTGCGCGCGCGAAAACTCGAGTACGTACTTTTATTTAGCTTAAGGGGGAGAAACTCTCGAGTACGTGTATCGCGCGCCTTCCCTTGCGGGGGGGGCGCGCGGAAAAGAGGAGCCTTTACCCTCTTAGCGCCATCGCCATGGTCTGGCCGGTGCTTGCTGCATGCAAGCAGCGCCGGGCGACGACGAGGTCGACGACTTACCGCCCCTCCCCCTCGGCACACCTCCGCTGCTCAATGTTGGACAACTCGAACCCGTGAACTTCACCCGTGCGCGGGTTACCCCGCACACGGTTCAGCCTGCTAGCAGTAGAGCTCTACCGATGTGGACAGGGGGGCGCTTCCTGGGGCGCTTCCCAAGAGGAGTTTGGGGTTATCCGCCCGTCCGCAAACCACCTGCATGCCGACGGGCCGCCCGGGCCGCGCGTCGGCAATATTGCGAGTCGTCCTTCGAAGCCTCGCCGAGCTCAAGTTTCTCCTCCTCGTCGCGCTTTCGGCTTACTCGCTGCTCGTTGAGGTGCACTCTGAGACGGAGGGGGAGCGGTGCAAGCGTATGACTGCCGACGTGTGCCCCAGTGAGCGGCTTGTTGATCCCCGGCCCCGTAGCCGTGCAACCGTCTCGTTTGCTGACCGCCGCATTGCACCGCTCTATGCGCAGAACGCCCCTGCGATGCGGAGGTTGCCTGCGTCCAAGCTCAACAGGCCAAGCTGGCATCCTCGTGGGAGGGCTGGGACCCGCAGGATAAAGTCTATGCCAGCATGTTTGGTTGCATTACCGTGAGCGTCGCCGCAAATCTCCTTGTGTTTGTCTGGTCGCTACGCGAGGTGATCCAGAACAGGAAGGAGTGGACCCTCACCTCTGATACCGCAATATGTTTCGCCTTCAACCGGCAGTACGCCCACCCCTGCGTGCGTTGGTCTCGCTTTGCGACGATCTTGTTCAGCTCTCTCTTCCTCTGCGGGGCTTGCCTTGCCGCCCATCTACGTGGAACGCTGTTCGTGCTGCTCCGCAGCCAGTTCTTTGCGTTCGTCGCACTGCTCGCGGCGCTGCACGATCTGTGGCGTCCGGTGCCCGAGGTTGCGAGGGTGCCTTGGCGGACGTTTGTGCCGCGGCTAAACGGGCAGAGCTTCTCCTGGGCTGACCTCATGACGAGTGCGCCGCGGCTGCTCAGCACCAAGCTGACACAGCACGCGATAGAGGAGTTCCTGTTGGAGGTAAGAGCGCGGCGCGCCTCATTGGAGGTAGCGCCGCTCAAGTGCAGGCGCTCCCCATCCCTCTCACTCCTCGTGGAATACTTAGGGCTGTCGCCATCATGGAACAAATGAGCTCCACTTCTGCTTCGAGAAACTACTGCGCCCCCAAAACATCAGATTCCCGGTACACCGTACGTAGAGCTCTAAAGCCGTTGGCGGTCTCCACACAAAGCTGTGTCGGCTTATTCAAACATCTCTCTCCCGGCTTTATTCCCCCGACAAAAACGGCCTCCAGCCACGACGCCACGGCTCTGCTGCTGCCGTGGCCGCAAAGGTCGTCTGTTCATCGATGACGTTGGCGCGAGTGCGCTGCCCCATCCTCCAGCTGCCACATGCCCTCGGTTCGCTTCAGGAGCGCAAAAAAAGACAAAGTCGGTTCGTTAGTCAAGTGCAAGAACGCACATGACCGCTGCCAGGCAGGTGAACGGCAGGTACTTCTGAAGACCCTTCTTCATCGCCTTCATGTCCCCACCAAGGACGCCATCCTTCTGAAGATTCAGGATCAGAGTGAGAAGCCAAAGCACGGCAACTGTCTTGACAGCGGGGAAGGTCGGGGCGAGGCACGAGGAGCAGAACGTGCACAGGCAAATGATCAGGTTAGTCGAAAAGAGCTCACCCTGCGCTTTGGCAAAGGCCGTGATGGCAGTCTCCCCAAGGTCCGTGTATTTCTCAATCACCGCTCCGCCTGCTGTCACCGCAGCTGCGGTCTTGAGGGCGGCGAGAGCGTTTTCGCCAGTGAGAGGCCCCAGCTTCACGCCACCTCGCAGTCGAAGGGCAGGTGCAACAGCTCCGGCGTTGGCGCACAGAGGCATCGCGACGAGCACGGAGAAGAGGACAATGCGCATCGGGGGCGAGCTCTCTGACGAAATGCCGAGTTTTCCGACGACGCTTTCAACATCATGTACGTACATCATTACTGAGTGCATGACCAAACTCTTACAAGCCCGCTTCCTCCGGGCAATTTGCTCCGGGCTCCCGAGCTCTCACGCCGCGCGTAGGGCCCTTAGGGGCCTAGAGAACACAACCCCCTCTCCCTCTCTCCCAGTAAGCGAGCGGAGCTGGTGCTGCGCCGCGAGCGGGAGCTGGCCCGCCTAGGGTTAGGGTTAGGGTTAGGGTTCGGGTTAGGGTTAGCCGCGAGCGGGAACTGGCCCGCCTGCGCGAGGAAGGTTGGCGGCGCGGCGGCGTGCAGGGCGAGCATCGCGTCGATCGCGGCTCGGCGCAGCTCCGGCTGCTTCTCGGCGGCGAGGGGCAGCACCTGGAGGGAGAGGAGGCGCGCCGAGGCGTCCGAGGAGGCGCGTGGCGCGCGCACGCTCGGGTGGGCGCGGGGGGAACGGACATGCGGCGCGCCTTCTGCACGGCTGGTCGCATGTGCACTCCCGCGGCGAGGAGGTGCGCTGCCGCCGGCGCCACCTCGCTGATGATCAGGAGGGCCGAAGTGCGCACCTTTGGCGCCTGCGCTTACTGCGCGACGCCGCCGACCTCAGCCTCTCAATACCAATGCGCACGCTCCGGCATCGACTACATTGGTCTGCGCGAATTCGATGCGCCGTGCGACAATTGAGGCGGACAGCCCTAGGCGGCACGGCGCCTGTGCTCGTGTTTAGTGTGCTCGTGTTCAAGCAAGAAGCATCAGTGCGGGTACATGCGGTCCTACCACTGCGCACAGTGCTTCCCGGACCCGAGCCAGGTTGGCTACGCGATCAGCCCGGTCGGGACCAAAGCTGGCGACCCTGACCGGCCCTGCTTTGCCAAGCACCTGCTCGAAGAGGAGCCGTCGTCGCATCGGGCGCAGCAGCGCATCCCGCCGCGACGCGGCGATCGACCATCGCCGTACCGGCGACCTGAGCCTGCGCCTGCGCCGGCGGCGGCGGCGCGCCGGCCGCCGCGGCGCCGGCAGCCGCAGTGCCCCGTGCGCGCCGCCGCATCATCTAGAGGTGAGAGGGGGTGAGTGGCGAGTGTGCGGCGGCCGGAGGGCGCGTCAGACGACCGCGAGGGCGGCCCACATGCGGAGTGACTTTTAGAAGTCACCCCGTTTCGGGCGTCTCACCGGCGTACTTGAGGTGCTTCAGACGGACGCAGTGGGCTGTCGCCTGTCGGCAAGGTAGGTGAGTGTCTAGGGGTCGTCTCTAGGCTGGTTAGCCTTGATTTCGATCAAAGTTGGCCGCAAGAAACGGTCGCGATGCCTCGTGTGAACGCTGTGAAGAGTGACTTCTCGAAGTCACTCGATCCTCGTAGGGAGAGACACAGATAGGGTCGATTCGCGAAAAACAAAAAACCGCGGCCTGCGCAGCAGGCTCGCGGGCAAGACACCCACCTCGTGGCGCTGCGGGCTCGGCGGCAGGGTCCTCGGCGCGTCGTGAAATGGTGCCATCGAAAGTCGCGATTGCGGCGGAAAATGGCATTGTGGGCCCCGTGGAATCATGGCTTGACGGCGGCGGGCGGATCGACACATCCTTTCAGAATAAAGGCCAAGTCTCCGCCGGCGGCAACGCTCATCAGGAGCAACGCTTCGAGATCGCCATCAAGAACATCACGCTCCTGATGGTTTCCGCCCGCAACGGTCATCAGCAGTTAGTCGAATTGCTGCTGAAGCGCGGCGCGGAGGTCAACTTGTCGGACAGCCTCGGAGCCACCGCCCTCATCGGTGCTGCAGCCAATGGCCACGAGCAAGTGATCGACTCGTTGATCCAGCACGGTGCAGCAATCAACCAGCAAGGAGAGAACGGCAGCCCCGCGCTGCATGCCGCCGCCTTCGGCGGACACGAGCGGGTGGTCGACCTGCTGCTGCGGCGCGGAGCAGAGATCGACCAGCGGAATTATGGTGGCTGGACCGCGATGATGTGCGCCGCAAACTTCGACCAGCCTGCCGTCCTGCTTCGCCTACTGCGGGCTGGGGCCGACATGACGATTCGTGACCTGAGTGGCATTTCCGCGCTGCAGCTCGCCAAGGAGAAGAGCCACACCGCGTGCGTGGACGCCTTCCGGAAGCACCTCGAGGAGCTGAGGGCTCGGCGCGACGCGGCAGCGGGCGAGGCGAGTGCGGCAGCGGCGCTCCTCGGCGGCATGGCGAGCGTGGGCGGCGACTCTTCCGCTCCGTGGGCGTCGAACCGCCAAGGCGCGGGCCCGCCTTCGCTGGAGGTGGGCTCGCGGGTGTGGGCCAAAGACGGCAAGTGGAGAAAGGGGACGGTCCTGGCGGCGAGGGCGAGTGGCGCAGGTGCGTCTGGCATGACCGCTGCAGCGGCGGGATCGAGCACCAGCGAGCCAGCTCCTGCCGGCGGCGAGGGTGACTCTCCCAAGCGGCCGCTGGTGGCCGCACCGGCGACCCCCGACGGACTGCGCGCCATCGCGGCAGCGATGACCGAGCCCGGCAGGCCAAGGTGGCCAGCGCCGCCGCCGTCGGCAACCCAGCCCGCCGGAATCGAGATCATGGGAGCGGTCGAGCGCGGCGACGAGGCGGCGGTACTGGCATGGATCGAAGCCGGCGGAACGATCGAGACGACATGGACGATCGGGCCCGTTTCCGACGGCTCTGTAAGCGGCCTCACGCTGCTGATGAGCGCCGCTCGCTACGGCCGTGATCGGGTAGCCGACTTGCTCCTTCGGCACGGCGCGGGGGTCGACCACCTGCCGCCAGCGTTCGACATGATTGGCATTGCAGGAGGTGCCACTGCGCTGGTGATCGCCGCCCGTCTCGGGCACGTGCCAGTCATCGACGTGCTGCTACTGCATGGCGCGGAGGTCGACCGGCAGGACAGCTACGGGGCAAGCGCGCTGTCGAACGCCGCCCACTACAACTTCCCTGCCGTCGTGCGCCAGA